TTTGAGGAGGATTAATGGATTTTATTTCCTCACCTCTTTTTTTACTTTTAGAGTTTAGCTTTCTGCTGGAGCCTTTGGACAAAAATCATCATAAGACAATAATGTTTCTGGGAAGTTAATTGGTTATTTATTCTGGACTTTCTTAACATTGAGAGACAGCAGTATAACGGTAGATCAAAACTTCCTCTAATGTTAATGTAGGTAACATATGGGACAGTTGAACCTGCCTCGGAACACTTCACCAAGTAAAAAGAACAAAATGATACTTTAGCCATTTCAGGGCTGCGAGCTAGCTACAGAAGAATCAAGTTAAATATATAAGTAGTTTTCCATGAAAACAATAAGCAATCAATATTGTTAGCCTTAAAAAATAGCATCTGGATGGGTGAGGTTCACACCTGTAATACTAGCACTTTGGGAGGCCAAGGTATGAGCATCATTTGAGGCCAGGAGTTCAAGACCAGCCTGAGCAACGTAAAAGCCTCCATCTTTACAAAAATGAAAAAAAAAAAATTAGCCAGGTGTGGTAGTTCATGTCTGTAGTCAGCTTTTTGGGAGGTTGAGGCAGGAGGATTACTTGATCCCAGGAATTAGAGGTTGTGAGCTATAATCACACCACTGCACTCCAGTCAGGGCAACAGAGTGAGACCCTGCCTCTAAAAAAAAAAAAAATATTGCATTTTCCAAACAACAAAATAATACTACCCCAAAGGCAAACACCTTAATTCCCAAATAATATTCAGTACCTGTCATTCACTCTTTGTGAAAAGAATATACCATACCTCTGGAAATGAGTTCCTAGAACTAATCTATACGTAGAGTAAATATCTGACCTAGAAACATTACAGCAGGAAGAGAAAAGCAGGCCCTCTCAGCAACTGATTGGGCAGGCCTTTTGCTCTACACATTTCATGCTGGTATTGAAGTCCAGTGGTCTAGGGAAGTTTGTTCAGATCTCACAGATAAATGAACTGCAGAAGTGGAATACTGTAGAATCTTAAGTTACTATTTATATTGAGCTACACAGGAACAACTCGTCCGTCTTCCAAGTGACCATTAGTTATCTAACCTTGCTTAAGTGGGAACGAGTTAAAATAAACACCTTCAGAGGATCACTGGTCTCCTGTCACACTGTGCCATCAAATAATAACCTCAGAACCTATTTGAGAATCTAATACACAAATAAATCCTTAAAAAAAGAAACAAAGATTGCTCATCCCTTTTTATAACATATTTTTCTTGTTAAATGTGAGATTGGGGGAATATTGACGTTTGGGCAATGTGTTTGGAACAGGCAAAGGCTGTCTTGACAAGTTCATTTTTCAGCTTTTTTCCCAATGCTAAAAAAGATATGTAACTATAGTTCTGCATACAGCCAGCTTGGCCTGACCACCTATCTGGTGATCTTTAGTAGGACTCTTTGCCAGTGGAGGGAGGTGGTATGTGGACAGAAGACATGACTAACGGGTCCTGGAAGGCATCCTCTTTCCACTTGGCAGTTAGCCCTCTCCCCTCTTGAGATTAGGCAGTGGAAGTTCTCCTTCTGGGAAACCCAGTTTCTTTTCTAAGTGGCCTGCTCAAATTAGGTAGGGGGAGAAGAAAGACATCAGGGAATTTTCCACATGATTGACATGGTTCATGTGATCCGGAGAGGCCAAAGTAATCTTTTAATGGATAGATTTGGGGACTATACTAGCTACACAGTTTCATAGACTTTTACATAGTAAGCTCTATAGTTTAAAAAAAAAAAA